GGGTCTCGCTCTTGCTCAGGCTGGTCTCGAACTCCTGAGCTCAAACAATCCACCCGCCTCGCCCTCCCAGAGTGCTAGGATTACAGGCGTGAACCACCACGCCCGGCCAGTAGTGCCTTTTGAAGAGCAGAAGTTTTTGATTTTGATTACTCTGTGGTATATTCTAACAGTAGAACATCACTCAGCAATAAAATTGAATAAAATCTAAAATGGTGCAGCTACTTTAGAAAATAGTTCTTTAAAATGTTAAACGTCCAGTTACCATATGACCCAGCAACCAGTCCTAGGTATGTACCCAAGAGGATTAAAACCTATGTCCACAGAAAAATTTGTACACCAATATTCACAATGGCATTATATTCATAATAGCCAAAAAGTGGAAACAACTCAAATGTCCACCAACTTATGAATGGATAAATAAAATGTGGTATATCCGTATAAGGGAATATTATTCAGCCATAAAAAGAAACCAAGTACTGATACATGCTACTACCACCATGGATGAACCTTGAAAACATTATGCTAAATGAAAGAAGCCAGACAAAAAAAGGCCACATACTGTAAGATTCCATTTATATGAAATGACAATAAGCAAGTTCATAGGGACAGAAAATAGATTAGTGGTTGCCAGAGGCTGGGGAGAAGGGAAAATGGAGAATGACTGCTGATGGATACAAGGTTTTCTTTTGGGGGTGATAAAAATGTTATATAGTTGTGATGGTTGTACAACTCTGTGAATATAGTAAAAAACCACTGAATTGTATATTTTAAAAGGGTGAACTTTATGGTATGTGAATTATATTTCAATAAAGCTGTTTTAAAACCACAAATAAAATTAATAAAATGTTAATACATACAACATGGATGAATTTCAAAACCATTATGCTGAAAGAAACTAGACATAAATGAGAAATACAATAAGATCCCATTTATATAAAGTTCTAAAACAGACAAAACCAGTCTATAGTGATGGAAATCAGATCAGTAGTTGCCTGTGGCAGGGTGTGGGGAATAGATTGCCTGTAAAGGGCACACAAGGGAACATTCCAGGGTGATGACAGGACTGGTGATTGCATGGGTGGATACACTTGCCAATACTCATGGAACTGTACACTAAGACGTGTGCATGAAATTGCATGTACATTTTTACTTAAGTAAAGTTCATTTAAAAAACAAAAACCAAACGTTTCTGTCTAAGTCAGGCAGCACAGTAGAATCAACAGTGCCTCCTAACATTTCCCACATGGTAGCACTCGTAGGGAAGGACAATACAGCATTTGCACAGCTTTACTTGAGGGCACTTAGAGCCCTTGGCTAGGGTGCTCTGAACCTGAGGCTCCCAGCCTGGGCTCTGGCCACCCCAGACCTGGCTGAGGGCATCAATGACTGTGGACATGCTGGGGAAGCTCACTGGGAAAAGCGTGGACTCTGGGGTCAGATTGACTCAGTGTGAGCGTTCTGAGGGGGTCATGGTTTCTGTTTGGATGACAACTGTGTGATTTTGAGCAGATTACCTTATCTCGCAGTGCCTCCCTTTCCTCATCTGTAAAATCACGGTAGTAATAACAGTTACAGCAAAAGATCATTGATATGATTCAATGAGATGAGATAACATGTCACAGCATAATTAATCAATTACAACTATCTTTATAATGGGAGAACAGCTATCAGACCAGTTAATGAGAACATAAACATTTCCTTGGGTAGTAAAGTTTCTTGTCCTAAAAAAATATTCTTTAAAGCTTTACATCTTGGGCATTTCAGTTCTCATTCTAAAATACAAACAAATCCCCAGCAGTGTCAGCCTGGCACCAAGTTGTCAGGTATTGCTGTGCTGAATTTTCACTGCATCTGTCTGTCACAGCACCTCTGTGTCTGTCTCTGCCATGCCACCCCTGTTTCTCCTTGGGGATCAGAGAGAACCCCCCAATTAAGGGGGCACAAAAGAATAGGTGCTCTTCCCTCCTCCCTCCTCTCCCCCTTCCATCCCCTGGCGCCTATAATCACCAGGCGGTCTGAGGCTAAGTGGTAGTTTTGCCCATGGTGGGGGGGCTTGGAAACCACACCCCTCCCCCTGGGGCCCTCCTGGCCATTCCTGGCTACTCGGTCTCCTCCACTGTTGAGATGGGTCTGAAGGGGGCATGGTGTTTCCCATGGTGCGGGTGCCGGAGACAGCGGGGGACTGAAAGAGGCGCAGGTACGGGGATGTACTTAGGGAAAAGGGGGCTGTCAGGCAGACAGAGAGACAATTGCACTGGGGAGAAAGATAAATGCTCAAACAAGCAAAGGGAAAAGGATCATCTCTCTCCCTGGCTGGGAGGTGGATCTCTCAAGTCTTCACCTGACTGGCTAAATACTTCATAGGGCCCAGTGCAAAATGAAAAAGTGGGGCCCCGTGTTAAAAATTTAAGAATTTCAAGATGGTGAAAGCAGAGCACTACAGCAAGCATGGTAGCCCTTCTAAGTAGGGGGGGACCCCGTTCAACCGCACAGGTTGCACGCCTGAGAGCCAGCCCTGCTTGCTGGGCAACATCCCCTCTCCCTCTCCTCTCCCTCTCCCTGCTGCTGCCACCAGCACTCCTCACCACCCTAGGCCCCCAGGTGTCTTCCCTAGCTTCCTTCTTCCTCAGCCCTGAGTGGGGGGTGAGGGGTAGTTGAACCCTAACCCACAACTTCCTTCTTCCTTGCATCTCCCTTTTAGGCCTGGGTCCTGCCACCCCTCCAGATCCCAACCCAGCTACAGCCCCCACTGTGGCTGAGGGAGGGATACCCTTGCCAGGCGCTGGTGCCTACTTCAGCAGGAAAGCCCGACTCTCCTTCCGCCACCAGCTGCATGACATAGCATCGGCCAATGACTCCACCATTTGAAGGGGACAACCAAGGGCTGAAATTCCAGGAAGGGTTGGCAACCTTCCTTCCCCCATTTCTGTGATCCCAGTGTCTGGCTCCCCAAGTCCCTTATAATTCTCTCATTAAACACTTTCAAAGTTGCCAAGTGTTGTGTGTGTGGGGGGGTTGGGGTTGGGGAGTAGATGGAGGGGGGTGCAAGGTGCTAGTACTGGGTTATGGGGCTGAGGTGGGAAATGTTGCATGGGGTGGGAGTGGCAACACAGGAATGGTGAATATGAGGCAGCTGATCTAATGCAGAGCCCAGGCGTGGCTAGGAGGAAACTAAGAGTTTGCTGAAGTCAAGCTTCAGGGTTGACTGCAGTGAGAGCAGTTTGGGGAAGCTGGGGGCTAGGCAGGATGGCTGATGGGGTTAGGGAGCATATTCACTCAATAAATATCGAATGCCCACCCCCTGCCAGGCATTGAGGATGTATCAATGAACCGAGAAGAAAGAATTCTCTCTTCTCACTAAGCTTTCTAGAAGGGGGAGGGAGATAATAATATATAAGTAAACAAATAAGCATGATAATATGAGATAGTAATAAGTGCTGCTCTGAAGAAAATTAAACGGTAATGTGAGAGTGGTACAGGGAAGGGTGATGT